CGTGTAAAAATATTACCAGATATGGCTAAAAGATTGGGGGATATTTTATACGAAAGTGATAATGACAGCTGCTGACTGATGAGCAGTGCTGACTGAAAATAAATTGTCGTTCAAGGGGTTAACCGTTGCGCGTAGTATGGGAGTCTCGCGGTTGAACGTGTAAATGTCCAGATAACTATTTGGTGAGAATAAATAGTGAGAAATTATAAATTGAAGAATGAGAAAAGATAGAGAAATTAGTGAGATAAAATATCAAGAGATATATTAGTATCAAAGCCAGACACTATGAATAAGCAGGAGAGAAAAAGATGAGTTTTGAGACATTTGCCCATCAAAAACTCCCGTGCGGTAATCGGAATTTAAATGTGTATTCTGGCCCCGCAAAAGGTCACGCCGGCCTTGTGACTAATCCTTGATCGAATTCTAAGAAACAATTTCATCTCGAATTGACGAATACATGGGCACTTCCTGCACGGAATCACAGAATTATCTCGAGACGACTGACAAGTACTGTGCCGGTTAAAAATGATTTCCTTATCGGAAGTAACGGAGGTATCTGTAACTTTGTTGCGGAATGAGATCGTTAAACGAAGAGATCGAGGAGATGTCGTCGTCGCCGTCGCAACGATGCCTCGAGCATTCGCTAATTATGCCGATAATCCGTACTCGTGTAAAGCGATTCGTAGCCCGGCGGAACGGCTCTCGGTCTTAATTAATGATCTCGTTAGAGTCCCGAAAGTCCCCTAATGACCTCTTTTACGAGCACGCTCGACGATCTATACCCCGAACCGAATTTTTTAACCGGCTCTACCAATTTGTTCGTCACCTGGTTCGCGCCGAGGTCGACTGCCTCGGACAAAGAAACCACTGTAACCAAGATCGCAAATGGGGACGCGTATTGCGTTGCGTATCGCAGCTAATTGCGACACGCAGTAATGCACACTAGTATCCTGACAGTTAATAAAGACCGGCTGACCAACGTCCGAGTAAAAGTGTCTGGTGAATCGAGCCGCGGTATCGGTGCCCAACTCGGTCGGGAAAAGGCATACAGATAATACACATAGAGGAGGTGAGCCGCGTTAAAACCTGTCCTTCTGTTAAAAATAGAAAAAAGATCGGTTATCCAGTCTAAAACAAATATCAAACTGTTGCTACTGAGCAGTGAACCATTAGAGAACCATTAGTAACAACGAAATTGAGCCAGCTACGTGCATGTGTTAGTCTCCCCTAGGGGGACGAAATTCAAAACGAGTAATAAGTATACATCTTATTTTTTTTATGCTTGATCTGACATCGGTACTGTTG